GTCGTTATGATTAAGTACAATCGATAGAATTCTATTACTATTTGTACTTTATAGAAGGTGTTTACTTCTATACGGTGCTATTTGTGAAAAAAGTGAAAGATTTATGGCTCCTGGTCATACAACACATGATTAATGGTGTTTTGTTTCATGATGCAATGGGAATATGAAATTTGTTTGTGATTCAAGTTGTCGCACATGTCACAAATACAGATTGAAAAATGAGAAAGGAAACTTTCTATGCTTTTACTACTTGTAATTATAACTAGTTACTGCGGTTTCGTTCTACAGTGTCATCCCCAAAGTATGCACCATATGGGAAACTTATTTATTGAGAGTTTTTCGACAAAAAGTTATTTTTGCATCCCCTAAAACTAAACGTACCAACAAAATACAGTACACCACACATAATATACGAGGAGCTTTCAAATATTTCATTTTGTGGCAAGAGTAAAGTACTCTTATTTTGAAAAATTTTGGGAAATGTTCTTTAGAAAAGTTGTTTAGCATCGAAAAATACATCTAGATTTGAAGTCATGGTCATCTAAGTGAAGTTTTATTTTTGTACCCATTTTTTAAAAATGGGGACTACGAACAACAAATTTTTGCTAAAAACAATAAATAGACAGCATCCTGTATACGATGGTTCATTTTAAAAGCCTGTAATATTACAAATTACACAACTGTCGTGTTAACCACGGTCAATTGTTTTGAAAAGTAAATTGATTTTCAAAGTTTTTTGTGCAAAGTTCTTTTTATTTTTTGTTAACACCGAAAATTACTCAAAATTATAGGTACGGTATTGTAACAAGAACTTAATATTCAATAATATCGAATCACAAAACATCAAAATAAAATAGGTATTTCTGAACAAACTCATTGATTTTCTTGTCCAAAATAAGTGTTTCAAGGTTTCAAGTTGAATCTCCAGAAAATCAATGAGTTTGTTCTGAAATGCCTATTTTATTTTGATGTTTTGTGATTTGATATTATTGAATATTAAGTTCTTGTTACAATACCGTATAATTTTGAGTAATTTTTGGTGATAACAAAAAATAAAAATAACTTTGCACCAAAAACTTTGAAAATTTCGAATCATTTTTACCTAGTCTGAAGTACCTTTCATGTTCAGTATACCGTTTTGAGAAATTTCGGCCACACTGTCCCACAAACACTATTACACTCCGGACATTTAATCTTATAAACTCCAGATTTCTCGCATCTTGTCCACTTTATCTTTGGCATTAGGAAGGAAATATTGTACTATGCAAGCAAAGGTTGGAAACTCAATTATTTGAAATCCTTGGAAATTCATAGGCATAAGCATTGTGGCTGTAACCTGCTGAATGATCAAATCGATCTAGTTTACTCACCGGTTTTCAAATTAGGGTACCCACATTGTCACAGGTAAACAAAAGTCAGGTACTCAATTAACTTAATACATGTCTTATTACCTACAGTGGTTTTTAGATATATAAGGGCTAATATCAACTATTTTCAGTTTATTGTAGTAGTTTGAATCTTATAGGACAAAACTGCAGTAAAGTTAGTTACAAATACAAGTAGTAAAAAACATAGAAAGTTTAATTTCTCATGGTGATCTCTTATAACGTAGTAACTGACGGCTACATCCATCAATTTATTCAAATACAGATTTGCAAAACATAGTTATCCACGCTGTGAAATAAGATGTAACTGGATGTGAATTACTTTCAAAACTTTGGAGTATGCAGCCATTATTAATCAATAACGAAACATCTGTGCCCATAAAAATTTTTCAATCCACCAATAAAAATAATTGACAAGATATATTCCAGAATTTATGATCAGCGCACAGTCTTGCTTATTACTGTAACTGTTATTGAAAGTGAGCGCAGTTTCAGTGTATTTGAACAACTTGAATTTCCACTATTTGACAAGAAAAACGGCTAGTTCTATCAATTTTGTCCATTGAAAATAGGATTGTCCATGTCCAAAATAATCAACATTGTCAGTTTAAAAGCAATTTAAAATATTTGTTTGAAGGTGATTGACAATGTTTCGTGATGAGTTTCACTAGTTCGGACTTCCATTGTCTACTATAAAATGATTTGAAATCCCTGAAACAAGTAAAAAAGATTTGGAATCGCAGTCCGCGTTTGGGGGCCTGGTTTTCGTGAGGCTGCTACGGATAGTGTTACCGGATCTGAAACAGGTTATTTCACTATCATTTCAATTTAAAATACTTAACTTGTAAGAGGCATTCATTTGGAGCAGAATCATCACATCAGATAGTGAAGCCACAAATAGTTTTTACTATTTTATATGATGATGCTACATCTTAATATTGCATTGCATATTGAAAGTAGGTACTAATAAATGAACCTCAATGTTCTTTTTTATTGGTCATCCCTTCACTCTAATTAAATTACCAAAATAAAAATGAAGATTAAGGGAAGCAAAATACATGAATTTTTGTACTTACTGCAAAAATCATGTGACGTAGATCAAAAAGTGTGGTTTTGCTATTTTGAAAGTTGTGAAAAAAAATCTATATTGATATCTTTGAAAATTTGACTTGGGTGTTAAATTGTATACCTACAATTCCATCATATATAATATTGTTTGAAAAATTAAAGTAATTTCTAGACTAAAATACACTTATATGGTTTCAAATTACTAAATATTTCATGGCCCAATGTTTCTTTATCTAACACTAAATTCTGGTTTATTTTGTCTCCATATGTCTCCAATTTCTTCTTCCACATGTTTTGCTTCTTTTTTCTTTGTTTCCACATTTAATAACAATATTTCCATCAGGAATTTCGAAACCTTTTTAGATTTTTCAGTGTTTCGGTACTATAAACCCTTTTATTGTCTAGAATGTACATTTGAGGAGCATCCACGCAAACGTAAACAAATCCATTATCATCACAAAATGAGATAAATATTGCATCATATAGACTTTGATCATTTCTATGAAATCCCATGCCCAAATTCAACCAAAAGTACATAAATCTTTGTATAATGGTGAGGTGAAATCAGGAATGCCAAACAAAGAGCAACAAATCCGTAAACCATTAATTTGCGCCAATTTCAGCAGAATTTCTCTCAAAAAGCAACAAATTTTTGCAGAAAATACGAAGGCGCCGTTATGAACCATGCAAAAGTGAACAAATCCAGAAGTATTTCAGAACTGCCTAATAATTTACATAGTGTCCATCTTGTGTTTAATAGTGTAAATAACTGTTAGCCTTTAGTACGCAACTTACCACCTGAAAAAGTCGCTAATGTTGAAAGTTTTCTGAAGGCGGAATTTAATGATGACTGGCCGGCAGATTCTGAACTAGCTTGGTATAAAAGTATCATTGATGGTAATAAATTGGAAATGCTACACAGATGATAGAAGAAGATAACGTTGAAGATGTAGAACAGGAAAGAGGTTGTGACTGTTTATGTGAAGAAGATCCTGCACTTCACCTTTAATGTTAATGACATTTTCCCAAGTAGGAATACAAGTTTTTGTTTATTTGTAATGTTTTTCTTGGGAGATTTAATAAATATTTTTCTGCTTACAACGATTTTTATTATATGTCAGTCAAAAGAGAACAATTCCAACAGGCTGGTCAAGTAAAATGGTTGTTCAGTCTACTTATTTATTAAATAATTTTCAAATGAATATTTTTATATACAAATACATACACAAATATATTAATGTTTATAATATAAAATTTTTAAATCTCAAATGAAAACATTTATTCCTGAATATAAAAATAAATATTCTTAAATTGATTTACATTCACATAAATGTTATAAATCATGATTACTAACAACTTAAACATATTTACTGTTTGAAAAATATTAAGTGTTTCATATTTGACCTGAAGAATCGCAACTGATTAATTCAGAAGAGAAAGATCATGTATGAGGTTGAATAACAATCCACCAATAAATGTATTTTTCCTGGTTTCATCAATGAAAATTATATTATACATTTTCTGCAAGGTTTATTGATTCAAATAATTAGTTTCAGCGAGGAATAAACTGTGGAGCAAGGATCATCATTCATAGAAAATCTATTTATTTTTGCTGCTTTTCAACAAGTTGATTTGGGACTCTATAAAGAAAAAATGTAGGAATGGTATTAGTTCCTCTCAGTTACATGAAAAATAAAACAAGCATTTCATAACAAAAACAGAATTTTGAATTTTTTTTGTTTTTCCCATATACCTTTTGAAAGAAAAAATCTAACAGATTTTTTTGCAACATTACACCTATTCTTGCCTCCTATCGTTCACAAACTCTCAATGCAGAACTGAATTTGTATTGCTCTGTATGAATACCTTTTACTAGATTATCCAAAAGAAGTCTATTATATCTTTTCATTTGAAAACCTATTTATAGATGTTCGTACATAGAAGATTTTTTGTCTAAACCGACGTGTTCTTGGAGTCTTACTTCGAAATTTCTACTGGTCTGGCCTGTATATACTGCAGAGCATTCAGTACATTCTAATCTATATATGCTGGATTTCTTCATTCTGTCACGTCTAGGCATTAATTACTCAGGTAAACTTTCAGTAAATATTCAAAATTACTTTTCCAAATTCAACATAATAACATCTTTCATAAGTAATAATAATTTAGGCAAAATCATATTTAATGCAAAACCTTCTATATTTCTATATCTATATCATTTAATTGAACCAAATATATGATTTAAAGTCAGCAGAGTAGATTTTAATATAGTTTATTTCTTCAGGTCTAGAAAATTCTGAGACCCTACTATTCTTTAAAATAGAATCAAGGTCTGCTTTCAACCAGGTGGAGTTTGGTTCTACTGGCATTTTTTTCTTGTAGACCTACTGTTGCGTCTGGGGTATTTTGTGATTTATCCACCTACACCAAAATGTAAAAGCCATTTCAGAGAACTGAAAAAGGAAGCTGCATTCTGAGTTGCTGCAGTCTACCATTTTAATGAAAAATTAACTTATCTATGTTTTTTTACCACTTTTATTTGTAACTAATGTTACTGCAGATTCGTCCTATAAGGACATTTTCAAACTAATGCAATAAACTGAGTTAAATGCCTCTGTTATTACCTACAGTGGTGATTGGATATATAAGGGCTAAAATTATTAACTAATTTTCAATAAGGCTCACACAGTTGGACCCTCGTCACTAAATTTAACATAATGACTTTTTAAATGAGCCTGTTACTACTCTTGCCTATGGTATATGTATTTTGAACTGAGAATCTCAAATTTCTTTGTCGTTTTATTATGATCAATTTAATAAGGTTTTCCATCTATATAAACTGTATGTGTGTAATTCTTCATTGATGAATAAATTTACTAACTGAAAAATTCCCGAATAAGTTATGCCTCTTCTTTGCGGAGTCCCAACGATAAACTTATTGCAGTCAGGAATGTTTAAAAAATGAATAAGATTTCTTCAAATTGATTGCTTTGTTTTCTTTTCCCCAATCTGAGCTCCTTGCTGAAACATTTTCCCTATATAAATTACCTCCATATTTTCAGCACTCTATAAATTTAACGGAAGTAAAATTCGTATATACTAGATATTCTAAGAGATAATATTTATTATAAATGACTAGCTTAAAAGTAAAAGGTTTTTCTACCGAATAAATTCAAAATAATGAGCCAACTGTTTAGTATCACTTCCTTTAGCTTGTGATGTGAAACTATTTTATACTATGTCAAAGAAAGGAGTGCCAGTATGGGAAAATCAGAAACTATAAGGGTTATAAAGTCGGTTGAATAAGAAGAAAGTAATCCGTTAGAGTTTATTTTAATGAAGTTTTAAAATTGGTATCTCGGAGATAAAACGACGGATTATGTTTCTGTTAAAGTCTTCTTGTACAGCTTGGTAAGTGGTTATGAGGAAATGTTTTTGTTTTTCAATATCTCCTTAGATAACGTCAATAAAAAAAGAAATTCGGAGGTAATTGGAATTTTCTAAAATTGTAAAATGTCATTTAAATGAGCTCTAAAATAGGCAATTTCTTTCTAATTTACCCGACTTTGTATCAGTCATGGTTTCTGATTTTCCCACTCTGGTCCTTCTTTTCTTGGACATACAGTATAGCGTCCTGTAAAATTAGAAAAACCGAAATAAATCTCATTAATTGTGGTACAGTTGAATCCTTTACAGTACTGGCAGTATTGACAATTTATGTATGAAAAAACTTTTTCTGATATTTTCAGCACCTTAAAGAATATATTATATTAAATAGGACAAGTCAAAGTAATGATAGCAAACTCCAAGCTCATATTCCTCAATTTGATGAAGTTTATACTAAAAAAATAAAATTAAATGGGTTTTTTCATTAACCAGCTGTCATCTCGATCATAGGAATGTTAATCCTCAGAAGATGAAACTTGTGTGAGCTAAAGATCAATGAGATCGTACCTTCTAACGTGCCATTTTAAGCATAGGAAGTCAGACTAATTCATCAATGCAACTCACATCAAATCAAGAAATAAAATTCGGTTGCCGGCAGCCGAATAGGAACCAATTTTCGATAAGATTTATATTTTTATGGTAAACTCTTTATTTTCCTCATTTGTTTGTAACGAAAAAATTGACTTCGGTTCCTATCTGATTCAAGGAAATGGGTGCACGATTATTATTAAGAAGGCTAATTGAAACTAGGACGGACTTTGGTGCAGTAAGGGGCCGTTCAAGTATCACATAAGCATATTCATTACAATTATTTACCCCCCATCCCCCTTGTTAGCAAAAGTAAGGAAAGCAAAGAACCCCTGTTCGCCTATAGTGCTTTCGTAATACTTGAATGGCCCCTAATCTCAGTAATGTACTCAAAAAATATAAAAAATGATTCAGCCTTCTCAGGTTTGGCTTTATTATTATTATATGGCTTTCAAATTTAATCGAGTTTTACCTGAATGTTTATGTCTAAAAAGTATTTTAGGACATATATTCACAGCCCCTCTTTTCATAACAGAAATATTTATCTCAGGGAGTTTGCTGATCACTTTATGACTCACCCTTCACAAAATTCAGGTCTGTTCAATTTTCTAGAACTGCTTGTTTTTTGGCACTTTTTCTCCTTATTTTCTTAAAGATTTTGGAAAACACATTTTTCTTTTCAATTACTTGGCCCTTTTCACTTTTACTGTTCTCTTCTGAAATGTTGATACAAATTTCCGCAGAACTGGATATGGTACAATTGTTTTCCTCTCTGGCAGAATCTACATGGTCTTCTGTTTCGACATTTGGAGCTTCGAATTTTACATGATTGATATTTTTGGGAGTAGTTTCAATACTGCAATATATAGAACAGTATGATCATTCATGGCAAAGTAGTACAATCATTTTATTTATTTTTTATTAAAAAATATTTGATTTTGTTAGATCATTCCATTGATATATAAAAAGTTAAGACATACAAAGGAGAAAAATATTCAAAAAATCTCAATCCTCTTTCAGATATAACAATTATTTTCATACAAAAAAAATTTACAATGACATCTTGAAATATTCACTTTTCTCAACGTTCTTGCATTGTAGGATCTGATAAATACTTGCTGACAAACCATTACTACCCCGGCTAACACCACGATGAGCATTTGAATTATGAATTATTCCTAACTGGAAAAAATCCTGCAGATGTTTTTCTGTGGGTGACCTACTCAATTCATTTCAGCAAGGTCCTGCTGCTGAACGGATGAGAAGCATCTGCAAAGATTTTTCTCTGTGAAGTGACTTTCAGAGATGTCTGTCTGATATGATAGAATGTCCATCATGGTATTAGCAGGGGAGAGTAATTGTTTTCTAGCAAGCCTTCGACATATCCAATAGTGTGGGAAGATTGGGAGAGGTAAATGTTTTGAATTTTCAAATCGTCTTAATACGTATGTATATCTCCTCAATAAAATCATTGGATTTATTTTGATTACAATTATTTTCAAATTGAAACAATGAATTTTGGAGAAATAACTTTTTCTTAGGTTTGTAGACTTTTCAATTCCTGTGAGTGAAATTTTATATACAATGCAGACAAAAAGTCTCCAATCCTTTCAACTTTTGAATACGATAAGATATCGAGTTGGAGAAGATTCACATAAAAAGATCGTATCACTTGTTGCCATTTTTTTTTCAAATGGAAAAAGGTCTTGTGACATCTCAATTGATAGGTATTTTGATTCTTAATCAAAACTGAAGTAGTTGTCTTTGAGAAATTAGCAGTTTATAGAGTTCTTACAAACCTTTTTTCTTCAACGGCTTTCACTTCATTTCTGATCACAGGTGGGTTGATTGATTGGTTTAGTAGATCCCAGAAATTGCCAAATAATTGTTGGGTTCTACTGAATATTAGTGTATGATAAACCTTGAATTCAATTGGAACTTCGCATGGTTTTTCCATACAGGGTATAATATTAGTACTGCCATTTTCTTAAAAAAAAAAAAAAAAAAAAAAAAAAAAATTGTATGCTGTCAGAAATTATTCATATCATTTCGTGGTTTGTATCAATTTATATTAGTGAATACTATAATTCATTCTATAGAAAAATCAATAAAAATAAAAACGTAGTTGTTCCAAAAACTATTATTTTACTTTTTCAAAAATGAAACCAAAAATTTTTATATTGATTACAAACTCACATTTTGAATGTTTTGTAAAGTGCACTACTACTAATTTGAAACATATTTCCTCAGTTGAAGTCTTTACTGTAAATGAGTCATCACATGCCTATTTCTCATATCTCAGGAATCCCATTTTTTCAGTCAAGTCAACTTTCAGACACTAGGGAATTTTTATGTCAATAAATTGTTTTACATAATTCAAAAAATCTACTTTTACAGATGTTTTGGCGTCATTGAACTGGTTTGATAACATTCGTAACATAGTTGCATTAGTTGTTAGGATTCCTCTTTTGAGATGCCATGTATATGTGACCTATGATTGATTGAAATTTCATCTTGTATACCAGTAACCAAGGTTCATGTAATAGACAAAGGGCAGGTTTTGAAAAAACATCTTTATTTTCAATTTTTATCTTCAAAGCAAGTGGAGGTTCATCTTATCCAATACGATGGGATCTCGTGAAATATTTACCCTATAGTCAACTAATTTTGAATATTTTTTTTTCTTTTTTTTTTGTTGGATATAATAATATTTCTGTTTCATAATCTTCAATTAAGTAATATGCATTGTATCATCTCATTCGTTTTTTAAAAAAGTAATTCGAATTTTACTTTTCAACTACTGTTTCACAATAAATGAAATAGGAATATTATTATTAGTAAATCAGATATATGATGAAATGTTTGTTTTCAGAAGATCAAAACGACTATTTTGAAAGGCTCAAACAATGGTCAATACAATTATAATTATTTTAAACGGTTTTGTTGTTAAAAAAGGATATCAGAATCTTCAATAATGACATTAAACATCAAATAACCTATTACATTTTTTTTTATGATGAATAATTACTTTTACCTTACCTAAACTATCCACTTGCGCTAAGTTGTAAAAAAATTTATTGGATGCGCTTGTCCAAAACGAAGGAGACACCACAACAATAACTTTTCTGCACCGTCTCGTTATCATTTTGATAACAGCTGGTCGCTCTAGTTTCCCGATTCTGATGTCCCTATCTTTTACACAAAATTTCATATTGTACTGTCCTTCCAGAGTTTTGACAATATTTGTGGCGAAATCAATATCTGCGTCATCAAATAATAAAAAGGCTTCATAAATTCGGAGTGGCTTACGTTCTGCTTTCCTTTTAACATCTTCATAAGTAAGGAGATCCTCATCATCACTATCTGGAGGATCAACGTAGACTACAGGGTTCAACTTGAAATATTCTATGTCTTTTTCTGAAAAAAAAAATCACAAACATAAACATTTCAATTCTTACATCAATTTAACACTTGAATATATCCATTGATGATAATTTATAATAAATATTATAAGATTTTGGTATAGGGTAGCTACTTTTTGAAGGGATTAACTTTTCAACTGATAGTTATATCAAGTTGACCAAGTGAAGCAAAACATGCATTTCAGGATCCACTACCTAGTAAAAGACTGGTTCTTTAATTATCATACGTAAAGTAAAATCAGTCAATTTCAATTATTGTTCTTTTTTATGCTAAATCTAAAATTATTAGAGAGATATTTTTAATTTGATAGTAAATTCTTATAAAATTTTATTAGGGCACTTTCAAAATTAACACTGAATTCATTCAAATTTCTTTATTTCAGACCTGTATTGAATTCACCAAATTTTCAATTATTTTTCAATCAGTTATCCGTGTGAAGAAATATATATTATCATTCTATATCAGAGAGGTCTAAGAGTGGACCTAAATTTACATTGATGATTTTTAGGGGTTATTTGGAAACTAATTTACACACACATTGAAGGTTTGAAAATTAGGACGAGATAGAGATTCGATTAAATTACTTTGGATACCATTGATTCATTGACAAGATCAAATCGATAACTGGTTTGTAACATTGTTATTGTCCAATTGATGTATTTGGTATCGAAAGTACAGTCAGTCAGTTGCGAAGAAAGCTACTCAGAACCCTGTTTCATATAAAGTAAGTAATTTGGTGTACATGGGAGCATTTCAGGCTTCCCACCGATTAGCACATGATTCAAGACAAATATTGCAAAAATATTCACGTAATTGTCTATTACTTGTCAGATTATAGGATCCATGCTAATTTATATTGTTCTGAGTTAGAGTTAATTAGTACTAGACCAATAATAAATAATAAACTTTATCTATTTATGATGTTTATAATTATTATAATCATTTCACTATCATCACTTACCTACAATTGGTATTATATCATCTACTACATCATATCTATCTAACCTTTCCAAAAAAGAAAGCAACTTTCCAATTGTACACTCTTCTTTTTTCTTTTCCTGCCAGGTCTTCAAGATTCTCTTTACTTTATCATCACATCCATTGTAGTTTGGAATGTATTGTCCGTTTATACCACATAACTCAGCTAAGCCTCGCCAGTCACTAAAAAGTAATAAAATTTTCTCGAGTAATGAAAGATGATTGAGCGAGGCGTTTGTCGACAGGGTCTGTTATATTTTTCGCTTTTCAGGACTGTTGATTGTCGTTTATTTTCAATGAGTTTTTCAACATTTGCCCGACACGAATAGTTGGCATCTTCAGAGGTACAAAGTAACAAATATAATAGAAATTTATTCATCATGAAATTAACATTACACAAATTTATCAGACTAGTCAAAAGAATTGTGGTTTAAAATACTAAAACCTTACACTTATAAAATACATACAGACTTACACTATAAAATAAAAATTGTAAAAACTTACTCCAACTAGCACATTCAATCTACAATGTAACTAAAATTTTAAAATTTATTGATATAAAAAGCGTGGTTGCTAATTTTTTTTTGAGTATTTGCTCAAAGCATGAAATGCTTTTGACTGTAGAGTTTTGTCTGTAACGAATGTGTCATCAAACTTGTTATTGCATTTAACACATATGTATTTAGGAGCATTTTGCGCAATTCCTTAACGTGAAAAAAGTTGGTGAATGTTCAATTTTTGTCGTGTATTGTGAAAGTGTAAATCTGCATTTTCGGTGCAAGTTTGATCGTTTCCTTTGATGTACATTATAAGTTGTAGATTATTTAAAATTGGTGGAGTGAGAATATTTTTTTAAGACTTGCTTACATGATGATGTTGGCAACATTTTATGCATTCGTTTCTGAACTGTAGAAAGTCTGTTAATATGTGTTGATGAGCCCCAAAATATTGAGCAATATTGAAGAGTAGACTGCACCAGGTCATAGTATAGGGGCCTTATTACACGAGGAAAAATTGTGTCTCTTATATTTCGGATTAAATTACGGTGATGAATCATTTGAACAATAGTTTGAGAAATAGTAAATACCTTTGGTAATTACTTTGAAAGTGACTATACAGTGGTGGAACCTGAGTTAGAAAACATTCAATTCAATATCAGTTATAACACAGTAGATATCAGCTGTGAACCAATAACCAAAAAAGAAATTTAAGATGCGGGTTACAAACTGAAAAATAAATTCACTTCACGTTCTGACAATATTCCATACTTCATTATAAAAGATTGTCTGAGAGTATTAGTTCATCCATATGAATTCTTAGAACATCGGTCTTTCCTGATATCTGGAAAATTTCAAAAATTTGCCCTGTTCACAAATCTCAAGACCGTGCTTCTATCAGTAATTATAGACCAATTTCAATCCCGAATAACCCTGCTAAGGTCTTGGAGATTATATTGTATATTCGCATTTATCTAGCAACTCAACATATCATTTCTGAACCTCAACATGGTTTCATGAATTCAAGATCTACAATCAGTAATTTATCCATTTTTATTCAATACTTATGGAATCATTAGACCGAAGACGATAGGTTGATGAGGTGTGTATGATAAATTACTTCTAGAGAAAATGGCTTGTTTGGGTTTCAATAATATTTTTCTAAACCTTTTGAAATCATACTTGAATAATAGAAAACAGTATGTCTTATATAATGGATTTTGCTCACTAAACTATATTGCAACCAGTAGGTTCCAACTTGGGGCCATTGTTATTATTGATATTTATTAATGACCTTTGGGATTCATTAGATTGCAATAAATTAATGTTTACAGATTATTTGAAATTATATGTTTCCAATTTCGATTATTGCATTTTACCACAGAAACAAATGAACTCTTTACATGATTGGTGTTTGACAAATTACCTTTTCTTAAATATTTATTATGGATTATTAAAATGGAATCCCATTTACAGTCAAAACTCAATAACCATGGAGAAATTTCTATGCTTCAAGGTTGATGGAGTTTATTCTTCAAGAGGATCTGATTATAAGAATATACTACGCAGATTCGATTTCGTATCTTTAGAAAATCAAGCATCCATAATATTTCTGCATAAGCTATTAAATGGTGAAGTTGACTCCCCTGTACTATTATCACAAATAGATTTTCATGTGCCAAGATTGAAATCTAGATCAAATATCACTTTTAAGTGCAAACGAGTCAAACAAATATTATGTCTAAAGCACCAATTAATGTGATGTATTCAAATGTTAACAAATTGTCAAAAATATATGAGATATTTTAGCTGCAGTAAGAGTTAATCAAGAAATAGATCTGAATCACATCTATAAACAATTTGTGAATCAATCATAGATGTACTCTTTTTTTTTTATTTTTATTTTTATGGTGAACATATGTCATCTTTTATTTATTGTAACACTGTTACTATACTTCTAATTATTTTGTATTTGCTATCCTTTAAAAAATGCCTTGCAAATGGTTTCTGTTGGGCAATAAATATTATATTATTATTATTACATAACAAATAACTTATTTTCGTTGCTATTTTGTTCGCATGCGATTCTCAATTGAGCTCTGAATCTAGCATTAACCCCAGGAATTTCTTTTATCGGCGACTTCAATATACATGTTGTTAATATGTAAATGAGGATTGGAAATAAATAAGATATTTTTTGGTAGAAACTGCATATATATCGTTTTTGATGCATTTAATGTTAGACCACTATCTTGACAGTAGGTACTTACTGAATTCAGTAGATGCTTTATTGCTCTTCCCGATGAAATGTTCAGATTGATGATGTGTTAGTATAAAATATGTATCATCTGAATATTCTACGATTTGATTGGGAGTATTACAAATTCTGTTAATATCACTGATGAAAATGATGAAGAACAGGGGGCTTAGTACCGCACCTTGAGGTTTACCTGCAGAGGTTTCTATTGGATTTGACTCTTCATTATTTGGGACAATGGTTTGAGAACGATTTGATGGATATGATTCTACTGAATTATAAAGTTTACTTCGTATCCCCATTGCTTCCATTTTCATCAGTAATAGTTTGTTTTACTAAGTGAAATGCACGACTAAGATCATAAAAAAGTCCGATAGTGTTTTGTTTGTTATGAAGTGCCTTATAAATAAAGTCTAATACATTTCATATGGCGCTGATGATGGATTTAGTTTTTCTGAACCCATACTGAATGTCAGGTAGTACATGAAATCGTTCAAGATAGTTAGTCAGCCGCTCAGAATATGCTAATTCAAATACTTTAGCGATATAGCTTGGTATGTAAATGAGACGTTAATTCACTATACTCTGCTAAGCTACGGAGTGCTTCAAAACATCACGCATAGTGCACGTGATCTAGACAAAGCTACCTGTACAGAGTCGCACTAAGGAACGACCGAAATTTTATTTGCAGGGAAACAAATTAGCAGTTTCTTCAGCCGTATCAGTGTTTGACATTTCAAAAGTTTTAAACTTCAAAATAACGTATATGTACACACCACAGGCATTAAAACTCAACTGACCACTCTGTAAGGAGGCTTGTTTATTTTACCCAATAGATGCAAATGTGTGTGGTGATCATGCTTTGAGCACGCATCTACCTTTGTTTGGGTTGCTTTTTTTGTTGGATGAATTTGGTTTAGATCACTTGCTGATTCCTTATTTTTGAAGACTGGTATTCCTTCAGACTCCTCACTTTAGACTACTCACCTATAGTAAAAGATTCATTAGTTAGATATGATCAGGGCTCAGCGATATACCTAGCAATGCTTTTTATGACTTTACCACTTATGTCATCAATACCTTCTGCTGGTTTTGATGCAAATTTTTTATTAGGGAGATAACTTCTGCTGGGTTGTTTGAGAAAGAAATAAGCTCATGTAAAATCAAAATATAGTAAAAAAAGTTATACACTTATTCTTTGTTGTAATTAAATAATTCTTTCAGATATGTTACCTATTTTCTCAGGTTCATTTGTTGGAACCGAAGATTGTTGCTAGAGTAGAAGGCAATTTAAGGCCAATTTTAAACTCTCTTCTTGAATTTTTTGCTTTTCATTTAACAGGGATTATAATATCTTTATATTATAATATCTCATAATGATTAACACAGAAATCTATATGATGGAATTGGCCAATACATGATGAAAATCCATAACTAACATATTCAGAAAGCCTTTATTGTGAGATTTTCACTAAACAGTCTTACAAAAACGCGACACGTGTTTCGCTATATAATGGTTTCTTCGGGTGCCTGAAGAAGTCATTGTATGGTTGCCTCTATGTTTTTACCTTAAAAAATATCACATCTCTAATCTTACTAGATGATATTTATATTACACGATATTTATTTATAAGTAATAATAATTGTAATATTTGAACAATTGGTGAAGTTAACCACAGGGATAAAATTAACATCTACACTAATGTTTTGGTGACTTGTAGAAATATTTGAATTATATGTACATTGATTCGTTTGGTTCACTATTGGTTGGTCTAAAGATATTTTGTTTGCCGTATTGGTTATATTTTTTACAGAATCGTCTATGTAGTCTTTTGCTACGGCGGTGGACACTTCCATCCGAGCAGTAATATTCCATGAGAGCAGTAATATTCCCGCTTGCGTCAACTAGTACTGTTGCAGAAGATCTGCGAAAACTGTGACTGGAATATTGTTCTGGATTCGGTAATTTGAGGAAAGCAATGATATCCTTGTAAATTTATAGAATTGAATTTATTCATCATTAAAAATTTTACAATTGCATTGCATTACATAACACTTATAAAATTTTATCAGACTAGTCAAACGTGAGTACTAGGCTATATATAAAATATAAATAGATACATACATGTACATTAAAAAAATAAAAGAAAAGCATCTTATTGACTCATCTTAGGAGATTAAAAATTCTTGCACAGAATAAAATGCATTCTTTGCTAGGTGACTGTATAGTCTCGATTTAAATGTTTGCAGACTGCATTCATTTCCAAATAGTTTGACTGCATGGTTATAGAAAATGATGCCTTGATAACTCGCAGAGTCCTGTCCTACCGCCAAATGTGAGTAAGGTAGTCTCAATTCGTTACCGCTACGTGTGTTGTAGTTATGGCACATATTATTTTTTGTGTAGAGATTCATTTTTTTTATATTAACAGCTACCAAATATATGTTCAGGCAGGGAAGAGTAAGTATGGACAGCTGAGTGAATGTGTTCTTACATGATTCTTTATACTGAAGTCCAGCTAGGCATCTTATCACTTTTTTTTAAAGTTTAAATGCTTTCATGGCATGAGCTGAGTTTCCCCAGGAGGGGAATCCGTAAGATAAAATAGACTGCACAAGTCCATAGTATATTAATTTTAGCACTTCCATCGAGACAGTTCCATGTAATTGTTTTATTATAAAACATATGCTGCTCAGTTTTGTTACAATATTTTCCATTTGTACTTCCCATGTTAGTTTTTGATCGATGCTTAGACCTAAATATTTGAAGTGACTTACATGCTCAATGGACTTGCTATCCATTTTTATAAGAGGACAAAAATCATAGGAAATGTTTTTCTGCTGGAAAATCATAAATACCGTTTTGGTGACATTGACTGTTAACCCATTACTTTTACACCACTTGGAGAATTCATGTGATACTGCATTTGCTGCTTGTACGGATAGAGATAACTCGTTTCGTGCCACCATTTGAGTTGTGTCATCTGCATAGATTATTGTTTTTTGTTGTGACATATTTGAATTTTCTATATCACTCATGAAGAGTAGGTATAAAAAGAATTGGAGCCAGGGTTGAACCCTGAGGAACTCCCATTGTAGCAGAAGCAGGATGTGACTTCATCGAATCAATCATTACCACTTGTGTTCTATTTTTTATATATGTACTGAGTTGTACATTTACCATTTCTTTAATTTAAAAAGAATGTTTCACTGGTTACATTACTTGGTCGAAGACTTATATATGTCTTGCATATTTTGTAAAAGTTATCCAAACAGTAAATTTTCGGCAAATTTTGGTTTTGGTATCTGGCACCTTAACCAAAAAAGTTGATCCAAGATCTTGTAAATTTGTTGTTTTCATTTCATACAACTCTTTACTTCTGCATGCACCCATTATTCCCATTATTATGGCAACCTCAAATTACAGAATGTAATGAAATAACTATGTGAAAGATTTACTTAATATCTTACCTTTGTTGCTAGATATTCATCACCAGATGCTTTAGTTAAAAAGTCACTGATATCTTTGCTAGAAAAAGTTTCCGCTTTTTAAGGCCGAACACCTTTTGATTTTCGTTTTAGTGCGCAGTTTTTTATAATCTTTTAAAATTATACCTTGATGTAAGGAGATCATACTTCTAAGCATTGAATAGTCCATGGGTCATTTGTTTGCTCGTTTTCTTGGCCTATTCATAAATACCTACTCTGTTGTTTGATACATGTTACTTACATTGTTGTTTTCAAAAATATCAATTATATAAATATGCTTATATATTAGTGTCAATGAATATGTTCTTTCTGAGGGTATTCTGCAATATCAAAAGAAGTTTTCCTCTAGAATGACTGTTGAGATTACCACATATTCAATAATGTGCAGAAACACCATGTATTTCTCTCAATTTATAAATAATACTGCTAATATAAACATTTTAAATAGCCAAATATTTTCAATTTTCATATTACTTACCGCGGTACTTTTTCCTTTGTAAGAAATACCTTCTCCGAATTCAGCAACAAAGATAAGACTTCTTTCGCTTCTTTCCCCAAAGCGTTAATACTCACTTGAAACTCGTTTTCGTACATATTTATAAAATAATAATAAATGAAAAATTAATAGGTTTTCCCATCTGCAAAACTGTAAATAAATAGCAGTATGATGAAGTTGGCTCTCTCTCTTTCTCTTTCTAATTTCTCCGAGCGTTGCGTTTCATGTTCCATTACAGAATGTTCCACTACTAAGCGCTCACAACACAGCTTACTTACTAGTAAGCTGTGCTCACAACTCAGAACGATCCAAATGATCCTTTAGCCTTTAGCCGTTCCACTTGACGACCGCGTCACAGTATTTTGTATATACAGAAATACTGTGACCGCGTTCGTTGTGGTCGCGGCGAAAACGTCACACATGATGTCACGGCAAGCTCACAACGACCCATCTAAAGAGATGGGCCAAAGTGGACGTTAAGAATATTTCAGCGTCATTTTTAAAATATGACATAAATGTGTTCCGTCATTTATAATTTCTTAACATATTCCATCATTCAATCTCATGAGTTAATCAATAGAATAATTACTTACACATATAGTGAATTCAAGAGTAGCATAAATTTGGAGTATAATTTAGGTGCGCAACTAGACATGAAATTTTCAAAATCTATATTGCAATATGTGACAGAAAATCAAGTATTTGAAATTACTTTTTGAATTCTTCATCTGAATACGGAAGAATTACATTCCCAAAATCAATGTTACGTGGCCTAAGTTTTCGGTTTTCAAGATTATAATTTTGAAAAGTTGCGTTACATTACATTAGAGATGATGAAGTTGAAAAAATGGAGTAGAAGTTTTTAGGAGATTACATAAACCTCAACAATAAGTTTCAATAATTACAAACTAATTTAAATTCCTGAAAGAAACTATAACAAATTAAAAAAGATTAGCTGAAAAATAACAATTATATTAAGCAAAAAACTAAAATTACAATGAAATAAAATACAAGCAACAATAAAAAAATTGTACTATTAACACGAGATGGAAATTGAAAATTTGTTTCTTGTGCTCGGCAATGCGAACTTTCAATGGCCTCATAGTTTCACCGATATGTATGATTCTGATTCTCCGCACTCGCAGGGTATCCGGTAAATGCAATTCTTGGAATCGCAGTCCGCGTTTGGTGGCCTAGTTTTCGTGAGGCTGTTACGGATAGTGTCCCCAGATCTGAAGCAGATTCTGATGCTGTACTTGGACACAATTCTTCTTATCCTTTCCGATAATCCTCTGAAGTAGGAAAGTACAAGTACTGTTTGTGGCAGCTTCTCTTCCTTGTGCGAGGCTCTTGCTGTCGTCTAGCCAAAGTCTGTTCCATCACTTTGGAGTAACCATTTCGTTGAAGGTCATTTTTGATGAGGTTAGTTCCTTTTCGAAACCTTCTTTTGTATTACAGAGCCCGAAAGCACGGTCTACTAGAGTCTTGATGATTCCTTCTTAGTCGATTGATGGTGGTTGTCCTCTTCACCAATTCGTTACAATGGAGAAAGAAGTCAACAGCAAATTGTCATTCTTAGACGCCACAAAAGCAATTCCTCTGTTATACCAAGACCAGAAAAAAGCACTCTACAAAAAAATTATGTCTACTTGGGACTTACACAATACAAAACTTGGAAATTTTCTTTGGGAGATCATCAGCAGAACGGAAGTGTACTTTTATAACATAAGTTATTCCAATATTTCGATAAAATTTATTATAATCTTCAGGGACAAGTGTTAGTTAGTGAGGTTGATCGTGTCGAAAAGAGTGTTATATTTAAACAAATAAAACGTGTCAATACAATAAACAAGTCACGAATTAAAAGAGATTGACTCCTCACAGAATACAAAGAAGAATATTAAATTGAAATTTTCTAAAAATCATTAATTGTTCCAAAATTATGGATTACCGGTAAAAGCCATGAGTTTTTTTTGTTCTACAACTCATGGCTTTTACCGGTAATCCATAATTTTGAAACAATTAACGACTTTTAGAAAATGTTAATGTAATATTATTCTTTGTATTCTGTGTGGAGTCAACCTCTTTTAATTAGTGACTTGTTTATTGTATTGACAAGTTTCATTTGTTGTAAATATGATTTTTATTTTTACCGTAGTATGCGCTGGTCAGGTCCTATCCCCCGAAGCCCCGATACATTCGGGAAGGCGCTCCAGCATTATCAACCAACGACCACTCCCCACACCGTGTGGCAAGTGATCATTGGGTCCGAGAATCATGTGCCCTGAGCAAGCGTAGTGAGCCAAGAATGACAGCCTTCTGCATCTGTGTGTATTTGCCCTCCTCTTTTCTGACGATATTCGTCTCGCCAGGAGCTGAAAACTCCACGACAAATATAGTTTTGCTCTGGTGGTCGAGAAGGACTACATCAGGCTCATTAGCTTGTATGAGCCTGAGGGAGGGGAACGAATAGTTCCAATAAATTCGGCACTTCTCGTTCCCCTCAACGGATTCAATATCCGCCGGAGCGTAGGACAACACCGGTGTCTCGTCAATACCGTTAAGAGGGCCGTAGATGGTGATATAGCACTCTTAGGGCCGCGTTATGTCGATGGATACAGGCCGAGACCGCATATGCTGGACATGCTGATAACAAGTGCATTAGGGTCTCGGGCATCTCGCGGCAGGCCCTGCACCTTGTGTCAGGAACCTCCAAACCCATCACGCGACTGCGGTAGACTAAGGTATTGAAGACACCATCCTGGTAAGTCATGATGAACTCCTCAGTTTCCGACTTCAGCCCATTCGACCTCTGAGAAAAGCGGCGAACGTCATGCGCTTTGATAAGCCAAGGTCTCCAATGTTATTGAAGAAGACCCCATGCATTGGCTTATCCTTGTGTCTCGGCAGAAGTAAGGTGATTTCTGCGGGTTTTATCTGAGCTTTTTGCTGAACAAGTTCCAACTCGGTGACAGAGTTGTGGTCACCTCGTTCAGAGTCGAAAACTACACCGAGTTCATCAGCTGCTCGGGCAGCTGCCCTACAGAGAAATGCTCCAATTTCTGCTCTCTCATGGTCACGAACCATGCAGAGAAGGGGATCCGAACTCCTGACGACTTTACAGGCTGTATCCAGTAACATTCTGACATGTGTACACTCCAAACTCAAAAGTCCACAGCCTCCCTGTTGTCGGGGGAAGTACAACCGTGCAACAGAAGATTTGAGATGCAAACCCACATAGGAATGCATCATTTTTTGGGTATTTACGTCGAGTTGATACAGCTCCTCCCAAGTCCACTTCACTACTCCAAACGAGTAGAGTAAGATTGGAACGGCAAGCATATTTGTTGTAGCAACTTTGTTCTTCTTCTTATTATTATATTATTACCATCGTTGTTTGAACATTCTTCTACATAATTACATTTTCCGTATCCATATGTGCCGGCAATGAATATCCAAAATATGAAATCTCTTGTCTGTACTTGAGACATAGCTTGTGTAATTACGATACATGCTATTTACATTCGAGCTCAACTTTATCTTTAAGTCACGCTTGGCTGAACGAATTACAGTTTTACAGAGAGTTTACGCTCATTGATCAAACTGAATAGAGCGTGGCTTTGTATTATATACAGAGGATACGGCCCTATAATGAAAATAAAATTTCATGATTGATTCGGCCGTTACTTGATGAAGAACCATAGTAATTTCAAAAACTGCACCTCACGATTTGATCTCCACAAACTTTATTTGAAAAATATATCACAACATATTTCGCTAGCATAGTAGTTTTGTCAACTGATTCAAATGTTGTGATATATTTATAATAACTTTTCAAATATGATTTCATATTTTGGAGCTGACCGATCACATTCATTTTCTCATTGTGTTCGGTATACCGAACACAAAACAAATATAGGTAAAGTAAATAAGAAATCTGATTTATCGAACGCTTGTCGAGCGAAGTGAGTTAATCGACCGCTCAGATATGTATTGAACGAGCACATCTTTATGAATTGTTACGACGAAGAACAATTTATTACCATTATTCGATTATTCGGATTATTCTCTTAGTGGTTATCGTTTTGAAGTACATAGTGACAGTTTATATTAAACTTCTCTTGACAGTGTCTAGTGTCTAGACATGGAATTTGGTATTTAGTTCTGCGAGTCTATGCAAACTTCTGAAAAATTATCTCTATACGCACATACAAATGAATCGAAATAATTAAATTTATTACTAATTTATTTAAATTTTAGTACTAAAAAATATCGAGTGGTAACCCTGTATTACAACTCCTAACCTTATTCCATCTTTCCAATTTTGAAAGGATTTACACGTGAGGTTTTTCATAAAAGTTATTCATGTTTTTGTGTACAACACCGATTTGAATATGGGGCGAAAAGCAAAGTTCAGTGAAGGAGTGATCGTTAAAAAAGGCCCCGGAAGGAAAGCCAAGAAACAAAAGGATCCTCAGATCCCCAAGGTTGAAAAAAAATTGAGTAGAAAGCAAATAATTCGAGCCAGAAATCGGTTAAACAAATCTTTGGAGCGCCAAGAGAAACAGAACATTTCTTCAGCTAAATTAAAACCCAAGAAAAATCAAAGTAAACAACACTTCTCGGAAGAATCAGATGAATCAGATGTAAAGAGCGAAGATGAAATTGAAAGTCAGCCAAGAAAGGGGTTCTCTGATGAGAATAAACTTTGGTTGAAACCAAAGAAAAAAAGTGTTTCTTCTGCCCAAGGAAATGCTGACTCTGAAAATGAAACCGATAATGATGAAACAGGAGATGATGAAAATGGGGGTGAAGAATCCTCCAATGATGAAAATGAAGTTGGTGAAATGCAATCTGAGGCAAATTTTGGAATTGAGAATTTGAATAATTTATCTGATAATTCTGATGAAATGGATGAATACACAGATTCCGAGAGTGACAAAGATGAAGATGATGACTTGCTTCCTATTGAGAAGCAGAATATCAAGCTCAAGAAAAAACAATTGAAGGAACAGAAATTGGCAGACGAAGAAATGCAGTTAAACATTGCCAATCAAGAAACATTCAAATTTCCAACAAAAAAGACCGAGCAAGATATTCAAAGTTTACAAGATGTTCAACAAAGAATAAGAGAGGTAGTTGCTGTATTATCAGATTTTAGTAAACTGAGAGATAATAAACATTCTCGTACTGAGTATTTAGAGATACTTAAATCAGATTTATGCACCTATTATAGTTATAATGACTTTTTGATGGAAAGGTTCATGCAACTTTTTCCACTGTCCGAACTTTTGGAATTTTTAGAAGCCAGTGAAGTTCAACGACCACTTACTATTAGAACAAACAGTCTTAAAACTAGACGCAGGGATCTAGCACAGGCTTTAATCAATCGTGGAGTTAATTTAGATCCCATCGGAAAATGGAGTAAAGTTGGACTTGTTGTCTATTCATCGCAAGTTCCAATGGGTGCTACTCCTGAATATCTTGCAGGTCATTATATGATACAGGTATGTATGTATTTTATAATTTTTCACTGCATGTTGTATAATTTTTCTTTATTAGAGCTAGTCAATATTTGAATTATACATGATTTTCTTCAGTAACTAATATTTTTGTAGGTATTTTATTATAAGTATGTGATGGAATTGACTGATACTTGATGAAAATTCATAACATTTTGTGAGATTTAAACTGAATAGTTGACAAAATTGAATCACATTTTTTACTTTACAGTAGCTCTAGGTGTGTTCATACTACAAACACAGAAGCTATTAAATACCGAAACAAGTGTTGCAGTATTGGAAAGTGTTCAGTGAAAATCTCACAATAAAGTGTTAGGTACTTGAATATTTGAATAAATGAATTGAATACTTATTGACAACTTGGACAACACATATATTGAGTAGTCATATGCATTTATTTTTTAGGCGAGAAAAGTCCATATTGAAATATGACAAATAATTATATTAGCTGCTATTAAAATAAGTAGATGTTTAACAAAAGTAATTTTATAGCCTGAAAACCTTACCGATGATAGTTTTTTTTTTGTAATACTTGAAAATTCTCAGCATCAGCTTCCTCAGTCACAGGGGAGTTGAATGAAATGATGAATGTGTTAGAAATGGTTGATTTTTAGTCAGCTCTGTATTGAACTGTTTCATTTAATTTTGAGTGTGCCCTGTAGACGTGTTTTAGATGTTGATGTTTGTTTTGAAGTAGTTGTCAATAAAAAGTCATTACGCAACTTTATTTTCCTCTTTTGATTACGAACGCATTCAACTATATAAAAATAGTTGAACCATTGCCACAAAAAGTTCAACAGAATGCCAGTTGAAAAAATTTTTCATAAATTGCCATAATTCGTAAGAAGGTTTTCAGATAATGTGACTGACGAATAATCTCTTCTCTTTTATCCGGAGTATAGTCTTCCAGTCAAAGTAACTTCTTTGTTTGTAGCTTTTGAGTTTTGTGGAAAAATTTTGACATTTTAACGAAAAAAATTGAATGACATACTTATTTCAGTAATGTGATCTTCAAGTTAATGAAATTGAAATTGGGGTCCAAATTTTGTTCTGGGAAAGTACATATACATAACATATTTTACTCTCTTGGATTTTTACTAGAATAAGATTCAACTCACGATGTAAGTAGATCTGTTTCATATCGAATAGATCTTGCTTTCCTTTGCCTGGCAGTAAGAATAAGATGAACTTGGTCAATTATAAAAAATTTGACCCTGAGAAATACTTATTACAGTTATCAGAATCTTTATACAGTTAACAGAATCTTCAGGATATAGTTTGTTGAAAATCTGAAAATTATTATAGACTAATTATTCATTAGGTTTTTCAGTTTACATGAACAGGAAAATTGATTATAGACATAACTGACATTTCTTATTTTTCTGTTGTCACACATTATTGAATTATGCTATCAGAGTGTAAACTTTCACGTCCGGAAAAAAGTTTCTCAGCTATTTTCCGTGTTTGTTGGCCGTGGTCTGCTGGTTTTTATGCATTTATGTGTTTGTTGGCCGTGGTCTGCTGGTTTTTATGCGTTTTTAGCAGCATAGGCTTGGTGGAGATCTCATTTTCTCCTTCTGCATACTCAAATACAACTATGCTGGCCTAGGTCAAATGCTCATTTGAAACTTTGATGATAGATTAGGTGATCATGGGTTGAAATTGAAAAAGGACAAATTCAAGACCAAATAATCACACCACTTTTTATGTAACCAGACTTTCAGTACGTGGAATGGCCTAAACTAAGAAGTCACCACTGTTACATCTATCAATGCTAACTAGAACAGAATCAATGATTCTTGTTTTGAATCCATTGTTCAGAATTTTTGTTCTAGGCTTTTATGTTCATTCTTTTACCAGTGTTCGTGTGAATCTGTATTTTATTAGACTTTCATAGGACTCTGTCCTTAGTCTTGAACTTTGTTTAATAATACAATGATAATAATAAAATAATGTTAATTTCCTCATCCATTCATATGAAGCATGTGTTTCTCAATTTCTATCGCCTCCCTATAAAGTCTTGGATAGATCTCAGAGCTATGATTGAAGACTATAGGCTACCTACATTAAACTTCACATGCATCTGAGCAAATAATTGTATAAATAGAAACAAATCCAGGACCACCCACCTATGTAATAAAACATCTGTGGTAGATGTGGATTTGTGCTTTAAGGACTGGAGTACCTTATTTGTATACAAAACATATGGCATGAAACCTCATATGTTAGACCACGACTAACAGATCCTGAAAATAGCTTTGATAGAATTATACTGAGTGAATGTGGTTTTCACTCCATATAACTATAACTCAATATCACCTAAATACTTGGGGTAATTTGTTTGAATATTTTCACATCTTATTAAGAAGTTTCAGTTAATGTTCAGGTAATCTTCAGTTAATCACCTAACAAAGTCTTCAAATGAAAAAATAAAAAAATATAATGAATAAACAGAAAGATTAAATGAACAGATTGAGGTACTAGTAGTGTGAATACAAATCATTCAAAATATTTATCAGTCAAGTTTTTGTGAATATATAGTTTTTACAATTAAAGGTCAGCAATTTCGTAAAAAATATGATTGAGTTCCCAACTGAAGAATTGAATATAATGTATTCAAGAAACACTTTATTGTGAGATTTTCACTACACATACAATACTACGCATACAATACGCAACACATGTTTTACTATACAATAACTTTTTCAGGTGTGTCAATATACACCTGAAGAAGCTATTGTATAGCGAAAAGTATGTTGCGTTTTTGAAAAACTAGTGAAAATCCCAGAAGATGAGTGATGTTTTCTTTCGAGTAAATAGATTCTAAAATAAACAAAATATCAGCAATTTCGTAAAAAATATGATTGAGCTCCCAACTGAAGAATTGAACATAATGTATTCAAGAAACACTTTATTGTGAGATTTTCACTACACATACAATACGACGCATACAATAAGCAACACATGTTTTACTATACAATAGCTTTTTCAGGTGTGTCTATATACACCTGAAGAAGCTATTGTATAGCGAAAAGTATGTTGCGTTTTTGAAAAACTAGTGAAAATCCCAGAAGATGAGTGATGTTTTATTTCGAGTAAATGGATTCTAAAATAAACAAAATAGCTATTGTTAAGATACCATGTGTATCTGTCTGCCTTTTTATGTACCAGAGAAATTCACAATCAAATTAAATTTCTTGTATTCAACAAAGGTGATTCCCTTTCACTCAACTCATTATACTGAAAGGAAATTAAATGCATCAGACATAGAGTTAAATAACTCTTCTTCAGTTATTTAATTTTTCAGGGTGCATCAAGTATGCTTCCTGTCATGGCCTTGGATCCTCAAGAAAATGAAAGAATATTGGACATGGCTTCTGCTCCGGGAGGAAAGGCATCTCATATAGCAGCAGTTATGAAAAATACAGGTGTCTTATTTGCAAATGACATAAATAAGGACAGGATTAAAGCAGTTGTTGGTAATTTTCACAGGATGGGTGTTATAAATTCAGCAGTTACCTCAATGGATGGACGAAAGTATCCAGATTTTATGAAAGGATTTGATAGGGCACTTCTGGATGCACCTTGTACAGGTGAGTTTCATTAATTCTGTTTCACAATTTATCCTGAATTTGAATGCATAAATGGCTCATATGAACGTTAACGGACTGCCAGAAAAATGAACTGATGAACTGCTTCATCAAAGCAGGAATCGGCTCAGAACAATTACAGGGCTATTCACTTGGCAGTGTCCTTGGAGAGTACATCTGAATAAACAGACACCTTATCTGTAGGCCATACAACAAAAAGACAGATGCAGTTTGACATATTCTATGTTTAGGAACAACCCTAATTATGTCCAGAAGAATATGGCAGACATCCAGCAAGGGACCTGTAAAAACTGTTAAGGGGAACAAGATTTTCAGAATGTGTGTTATGAAAAAGATAGGGAAAAACACAATAAGCCTGCGAGACTGCAGTGTTTTCAGGAGACTTTGATGAAATAGGCGAGTCAGGCAGTTCCCAATATGGGTATATCTATATGCCTAAGCAATGACGTTTTGAAAAGTTGAAGATTTAAAAAGACAATCTAAATTTACGTTTTGTAATCAATCGCCTATACTTGAAGGATATCTAAAGCAAATTCAAATCCAAGACAGAGTGGATGTAAACATTGACATGCTCTACGCACGTGATATTGAAAATCCCAAGAATTGGCCAGGGTCGTATTCAGAACCAACATCTTGTTGATCGCAAATGCTATATCATACTTAGGAAAACTTTTTTATAATAACGAGTGAAATGCACAAGTTTTGCAGTTTAACGGGAAAAATGCAGATAATATGTGTAATATAAAAATATTTTCATTGGATTTTTCACAGGGCACTCAAGCATTATATGAAAAGAAACGTAATTATTTCTTTATTGATAATTTTTATTTTAAGTAAAATCAAAAGGAATATTAATCAAAATTATTCAACTGGATGAATTTGTCTCTTCATCAGTAGTGTCATCCTCACCAATCTAAATTACCAGTGGCTCGATTTGTGCCTCTATTATGTTATCAAGCTTCCACATCTTTGTCTCGACTTCCGATATCACATGCCGAACACACTTCTCCCATTTCTCCGCTGTGACTCTTTTCAAAGCCTCATCAAAAAGTACTTTGAGATATGCAAATTTTAACGTGGTGTTATACTGAGCTACAAAATTCTCCACATCCGCCCATATTAACTCGATGGGATTGAGCTCGCAGTGGTATGGAGGCAGGCGAAGGACAATTTTGTTTGTCCTGCTGCCTGCTGCCATCTCATCGACTATATATTTTTGGTATTCAAGCTTGCGCTCCTTGACAATTTTTAGTAGCTGTACTTTTAGCATTAAGTCTTCAAAGCTAATATTCTTTGATCGCAGCCAATTTTGGATTTCAATCTTCTTTGAAGACATTGTCGGAATCTTCTCTAACCGTCGCGAATGATAAGGTGCATTGTCCATTACAATCACAGCATTATCCTCCAGATGGGGTAGAACTTTGGAAAACCACTGTTCGAAAGATTCACCGTTCATTTCTTCGTGATAATCTCCAGTTTTCTTCGACTCGAAGCACCACAGCCCTTCAGCAACAAACCCATTCTCATTGCCGATGACAAATAATAAGCCGTTTTCCTTTACCTGAAATTATGAAGAGGTATGTAAGTAAATAAAACAAATACGAGGGTTACTTTTTATATATTGAGATTGAGGCAGGCCTTAATATCCTCCATAACACAATTTCCTCTCTATCCAATAATAAACTATTGCGCCCTCGTTTTTTCCATAGAAAATTCAAATTTTTCAATACTTTATGGAATGTTGACCGCTTAAAACTTGGCAATAAAACATCTTCATTTATTTCTGTGAGTACTTTGTCTATCGTGGGTATTTCATTTCTGAAAAAGTTCTCATGCACTTTCCTCCTGATTGCATGTTTATCAGCATTATCTATCGATTTTATAATGTTTTGACGATTCTGATTTGTATTCGGTTTGGAAAATGTATGATTTTGTTTATATTCTCGTAAAACATTATAAATCGAAGCGCAACACACTCCAATTTTATCGGAAACTTTCGATACGACTTCGTCGACAGTCGATGTCTCAATTTCTTTCATCTCTTTCTTGAACACATTTAAAATCACTTCTTTCATCTCAACACTCAAATGTCTTTTTTGGATCGTTTCCTGGCTGGACTCAGAGGATAGCTCACAGTGTCATCAGCAGTGTCTGTACTGGACATCTTGGAAAACAATTTTAAACAATATACTATAACGCACGCCACACAAACACGCAAACGACTGATTACAACCCTGTGCTGGTACCGAACTCGTACCAAGAAGGCGAATTCACCAATGAACGCTGCCCTTTCCATCTGACACTGAGCGATCACGTGAACATCAAGCTTCGGTTTTGTTTTGTTTTACTCTATCTTGGATTTGGATAGACTTTAATGTTTTTGGCAAAATTTTTTTAAATTTTTGAGAGAATATGAAATGAAAAACAAAAATGAATGAAACATTATAAATATCAACAATATTAAAAATAACTGAACCAAAATATTCAGATAAGTTACTTAAAGATAAATCAAATAAGTCTGAAAACTGTATCGAGGAGAGATACATACGTATAAGAAAATGAATATTTTGAAATGGAGTCTCGAAATATTCATCTCCCCCAACGTACCCACACAGTAGGTTCTGGTAAATGCATGTTGAAAAATAACTACTTCCCCGGCTAATACCACGCTGGATATTGAATTATAGATGTTGCAGATGTTTCTCGTTCATCCAGCAGCGGGACCATGCTAAAATTATTTGAATAGATCGCCTACCGACTGGTTTCGAGGTATTACCTCTCATCATTAAAATCAAGTTTATAAAAATTAGAACTTCAATTTTGAGATGTTACCAATATAAATAATGGTAGTTTTTTGCAATTTCTCAAAATTTGTTGGTGTAAAGATGATAGTGCCTTATTTTTATTTATTGTTTTAAAAAAGATGATTTTGAAATAAAAATTTGTTTTCAGGTACTGGTGTTGTCGCCAAAGATCAAAGTGTTAAAACTAATAAAGATCAATTGGACATTCAGAGGTGTTATAATTTGCAACGCCAACTTCTTTTGGCAGCTATCGACTGTGTCAATGCCAATTCTGCAACTGGAGGTTATATCGTCTATTCAACCTGTTCCATATTACCTGAAGAAAATGAATGGGTCATTGATTATGCTCTCAAAAAACGTAATGTCAAACTGGTTGAAACAGGACTTGATTTTGGTACTGAAGGATTTACAAATTACAGGCAGTATAGGTTCCATCCGACCCTTAAGTTAACACGAAGGTTTTACCCCCATACTCATAATATGGATGGATTTTTCGTAGCAAAACTTAGGAAGTTCTCAAATCTGATTCCAAAATCTGTTGAAATTGTTGAAGAAGCTGAGGCAGAAGAAGAAGACTTGGAACAGTCAACTGAAAAAGAAAACGGTATCGAGGAAAGACATGAGGAGGAGATAGAAGAGAATAAAAAACAAGCAAAAGGGAAGAGCGATAAAAATATTACCATACAATCTGTAAGTAAGAAGCAGAAGAAGGAACAGAACATTGAAAATGTTGAGATGACTCAATTAATGAATAGGAAGCGAAAAATAGAAAAAAACAGTGAGGAGGTTGAGAAGAAATTTTCAATGAGTAAAAAACAGAAGAAAGAACAGAACAATGAAAACATCGAGAAGACTCAGTCAGTGACTATGAAACAGAGGCATGAGCAAAGTGATAAAAATGTTGAGAAACAATCAGTAAGTAAAAAACAACAGAAAGAACAGAACAATAAAAACATCGAGGATATAGAGTTAGTGACTAGGAAACAGAGAAATGATCAAAGTAATGAAAATGTTGAGAAACAATCAGTAAGTAAAAAACAGAAGAACCGACAGAATAATGAAAACAATGAGAAGACACAGTCAGTGACTAAGAAACGAAAGAATGAGCAAAGTAATGAAAATGTTGAGAATCAGTCAGTAAGTAAAAAAAAGAAGAAAGGACAGAACAACGGAAACATCGAGGAGACACAGTCAGTGGCTAAGAAACGGAGGAAAGAGCAAAGTAATGAAAATGTTGAGAAACAGTCAGTGAGTAAGAAACAACAGAAAGAACAGAGCAGCATCAGAAGTTTAACAAAAAATGATGATGAACAGAAGAAGAAGAAGAAGAAAAAAGTTTTATCTAAACACAAACGAATCCCAATCAAACAGCATAAAAAAAAGCATATGTTGAAATAAGTCGAATTAAAGTTTAATTTTACAATTTAGTTATTTCTATTGTAAAGGTAGGGTAGGGGGAGGCCCAAAGTGAGTAGATCTATTCAGCTCTCCACTGCAACCACATATCATTTATTGTGGCTCACACCTATTCAGTCAACCAAATAAGTACAACTTAACAAAACCAATTCTTTCATTTGGTGAATGATATTTCAGGTGAGATGGCTAACACTGGAACCCTTATTCCAACCATGGTGGGTACTCAGAATTTAATTATACTTCTCATTCAATGAAGTTTTTAGTGTTAGTACTTATGTACCTTACAGTTGTGAGGGAATGAAAAGGCTTCATTACCCGCTGTAATCTACAAATAGATTATGATCACTTGATCATTTTGATTGATATAATCATATGATTGTATATAAAATAGGAACTGGTCAAATTTTAGGTTCAATGACACTGTTTTTTGGAGTTGGTATCACTTCTCAAATATACAAAAATATTGATCAATAAAAATATTTCATATAATTTTTTTATTGCTTTTTGTATTTTTTTGTTGTTTCAAATCATATCTAATTTGAAAAAAATCCTGAGATTTTGAAATAAAATAAGCATAAACTTGAAGACGCTATTGTATAACAAAACATGTGTCACAGTTTTTGTAAAACCCTTTTATAGTGAAAAGCATACAATAAACTGTATTGATTAGTTTTTTCTTACTAGTAAAACCTACCGTTGAACTCCTGTGACCAACCTTCTTCAAAACATCTGGATATGTGAGAGATTCTGTTTATNCTTGCACTGATGAGTGGCTAATGAGCCCGAAACCGGTCTGCAAGTGTGCCCGTTCCAAAATTGAAGGTCCACTCTTTCAGTTGTATTGCCAATTGCATATGCAGGAAATTTTCTGTGAAGATTCCTGCGCTGACGCCTGTCGGATAAAATCCAACGCCCTTCGTTGTATTAGCCAGGGGACTAGTTGTTTTCTAATAAGCGTCAGTCTATTCAACCTACTGTGTAGGTATATTCGAGATTGGCTTGAACGTTTAAAGTTCATTTCTTTAGATTTCTAAAAATGGCAGTCAATTTGAAATAACTGAAAAGAAACATCTATTTTAGACAAATGAAAAACACTGCTAACTTTTTCTAATAGGGAAATCTGTGGTACAGTTACTTTATTTAACATCAACATAAAGTGTATTGCAGATGAAATTGAACAGTTATCTAGCTACTTAAGTGATCATGAGTTTACAATTATTAGATTCCGATTTCTGTTCTGTTGATTTCAATAATAATATGCATTTTCCTTTACAGATTGTATTTGTGTAGTTTCGATAGATTTCTCAACTTGAACAAAATACATATATTGAATAAAGTCTCAACGCATAGCAAAACATGTTTTAAGACTGACAATTTCAATGTCAATTTCAATTTATTGGTAGATCAAGATCTTCAGATGATGTGGCGCTGCAGGTTTCTCCGGGTTTTCCTGCAGCTGAAAAAGCAAATGCGCCACTGGAATCAATGTAATCGCCCCGGAGCGCCAATTAATTTTTATTTTTACGAATTAAATGTCTACAAAAAAAAATTTACTCTCATGTCATATTCATTACTTGATCCTATGAATCTATCTATGATAACAATTGATAAGGACACTCAAATAACTTCCATTTGGCCTAGATAATTATATAGACAATATTATCACCAATATTGATGCCAATGAATATATCTCTAATATAACATCCATGTCGATGTAGGTGCTCAGAAAGCAATTGGTATTACAGTCGTATTATTGAAGATGCCAAATATTCGTGTCGGCGAAATGTTGAGAAACTCGCTGATTAACATGACAAAAAAAACGTAATGAAATTTCACTCATAATCTTTACCTAATTTGTTTCACTAAGCTTGTTCTGTGTTATTCTGTAGTAGTGTTTCAAAGACGTTTATTGACAATTGTAATCCTGATTGACAAAACCAACAAGAGGGATTAAAGTTGATTGTCATAAATTAATGAACCTTTATTTGTAAGTAACATATATGTTTACAAATGGCCTAACAATAAAAAAACTTCAATGCACCTACCAGCTGATTTTATTATTGAGGATTACATTATCAATACGCTATATCCATAAAAAACTACACTCTATAATTCACAGACACACTGTTTTAAATGATGATTGTTTCTATAGCAACTAGCTTTTGTTAGATCAATTCATATTTAGCATATTGAATATTTTTAGTTTTGTGTAATTTTGCTAAAATGTTTTGGGGATTGACACCTGCTTTAGATTTACTGTGTGAATATGAAAAAAGTGTTGGAAATATACCAGAAGAACTGAACATACTTATCATAGGTAGTTCAGACTGTAGGCATATTCTTAAAACTGAAGCTAGGAAGTATCGCCACAAAAACGTGAAAATGAATTTCTACGTGATGGATTCTTGTGTGGAGCTTCTAGCAAGGCAACTACTTCTCATGAATATCGCTTTGCAGTCCCAAGAAATTTTAGGTTTGGAACAAAAAACGAAAATATTCATGGAATTGTATGGCAATTCCTTGGTTAGACCTTCCGTGGCTAATTACCTTACTTCAGCTGCGTCTGAACTCATTAAAATGGTTACCGATTATGATTACCTAAGCAGAATGATGAGCAGTGTTAGTTTGGAAATCAGATACAAAGAGCGAGACTACCTAGAGAATCTTTTAAAGTTCTGGTGTAGCAAGGATGAATTCAATATATGTGATAGTTGGGACAGAAGACTGAGAAAGTTCTTGGGAGCAAGGTAAATATAATTTCAGTACATTGTTTATTATTTCAAAGAAACTTTCTAGGATCCAACTACAAATACAATAGTCATATTTAGAAGACTATTGAAACGATTCATTGAAGATCGTTCAATGCTTATGGATTTATTAGCCTTAGTCTGCAGTTTTTTATACCTCACGTTTTGTCTGATACTGCGGCGGACATTATCAAATGCGATGCGGTAACGGCTGAGGTAATGAACCTTGCTACGATACGCAAACTGAATTCTTCTTTGTGCGTTAGTATTTAAAATGGAACTAGATGTCGGATGGCCGACTGTTTCGTACCTGATTGGTCCGACCCTTCTTCAATCATCGAAAGAATTTTTGTGAATCCACGTCTTATTGACGATTGAGTTATCTTCCTTACGATTGAACTTATTTTTATGTTTATGTATTTCTATGGCCTCTCTGCATAGCCGCGGATAATACCTGATTGCCATCACAAAATACAATTCAATACAAAATACAATAATATTTTCGAAGATTGTTTGCCTAAATAATATGATTTTTTGCCTACTGTTGATATATGGTTTTCGTCAGAAATTGTTTTTATTCCGGGTAGATTACTATCTTCATCCTCTGAAACGTCACCCCAATATTCCTATTCCGATGCAGTGTCGCTATCCTCATCATGTAAATCAGATCATACACGATGATGCCTATCATAGGTTCATTTGACATGAAATCGTCCTCAAATTTCTTTGCTCGTTCACAACGAGATTTCCATTGCTCTAAAGAAAAATTTTGAAAAAATCGTCGCAATGTTGCATGGCATAGTTGAAACTGAAAGTAACATTTTTGTTTGTCACGTAATCTTTCAGTCCACCTCAAACCAACTCAATTTCATTCGTATCCGGGTAATATGGTTATACTCCTACAACGTTGTAATTTGAAAGAGCTGATCTATTTCATACGAATTTTGGCTTATTAGTTATTCATGAAGGCATATATTTCAGGTTTCAGTGGGTCAATATCGTTGGCATTTTGTCGATGGTGGTGCATTATCGATCACCACAACGATTCTTAACGGCAAATTCGGAATCAACTGTTCCGACACACATAATTATCTTCTCGTTGCGATAATCACCTGTAGGTATTTCAATGAGCTTTTTTCCTGTGCTAGTGTAATGCCAACAAAGCATTGCTGTTTTGCGAATTGAACGTCGGATAATCGATATCCGGAAGAAAACGTGTTTTTTATACCATTTATAAAATCTCATATTAATAAGAAATGGATATATGCTTCGAGGAGAGTGGATTCAACAGTTCGAAAAATAAATAAATATTTATATGTATGCTCTAAACATGAAATGAATAGTAAATTTTTGTAGTTAATTACCATTGATTAGAATGAAATATAACCTCAATCGTTTATTGAATTATATTCATTTATTATATTTAATTAAATTTATTTCATTACCATCTATATTTGATTCATATTTAACTAGGAAATATATCTGAAATTCATTATCATTTTAAACTTTTTTTATTACAGATTGAATCTACCGCTACTCTTTTACTAGAGTCTGTATATTAACCTGTCTTTTTTTCCAGTCACTTTTAAATTACGGCATGCAAGCCAACGTTTTAATGTTACAACATTGTTATCCTTTACAGTTGCAAATTTTAGTTTTGCTCCAGGAACATCTTCTTCTGTTAAAAACATTCTTTTTTAATTGTACTTTACCATATGTTTATATGAGGATTAGGCAGTATTTGTCCCTACCCTACCGAACTACTAGCGGTGCGAGTGATTTTTCGTACTTCAGGAAAAAGGCTCATTTGATTGCCATCTGATGTGAGCATTAGGCACAAACCGATTTTCACCACTCGCATGTATTATGATCTGTTTTTTTCAGACCTTCCATGGTATGATCACTACATCCTTTTTGGTGCGCGTGTGTGGCGTGAATATACAGGGTGTCAATTTGAAAACTTCCCACCCTCAGTATCTTCCTTCCAATAAACAATATGAGAAACCGAAAAAACTGGTCAATTTTATTGTCAAGAGGGACACTATCAAGGACTATTTGTAACCTTCGTGTTTCAATCCCCTTGGAGGGGTAGATGTTACCCTTAGAATTTTAAATGGGAACGGGTGTCAAGGGGGTCTGCTCACAATGGTACCCTGACTTATTATTTTTTGATGAGCATTTTTCAAAAAATGTTAAGGTTGGGAAGTTTTCAAATTGCCACCCTGTATGTTTCATCCTATAGATAATAGGTCGAAATTCCTATAGTCGAATGGGCTGGCGTTCCGTTAGTATTTTCCTAATAATTTTCACCTTTTCCATCGAAATTTGAGTTGATGAATTTCTTTTCTCAGACTCCCTGCTAACCTGATAGTTAATATCTCGGGTGATAGTTTTGTGAATTTTCCTAAGTGTAGGAACTCGTTTCTCTTTGCATGCATCTGTATGAGAAATTGTCAAATCAGCGTCCATAAAAATTTCATTCTCATTCCATCTGCCGTTGATTTCGCTTACATACATTCTAATAAGTTGTTCATTTTTAAAGAAAACAAATAACTCTTACTGTACTAACAAGATGTTGTCTACTTGAGTTCCTCCATGTTAATGATCTCTCCCCTTATTCCGCCGGCTGAACTACTGCGCTATTCAGAGACACAGCAAGATTGCCAAGCTGTACATCCAGTAATCATAGAGATACAGGATGAATCTTCATTTCCAACAATTTCATTGTAATAGAATAAAATAAATTAATATTGTATTGGATTTCCTTTTTTTTTTTTTTTAATTACAGGTATGACTCGAAAGTTGGAGCTTTTGACTGGGACTTACACATGAGATACCATAATATTGGCGGGAAACAAGTGTGCAATCAGGAATACCGCAACTACAGAATGAACGGTGTAGCTTTTTCTTGGCTAGAGTCCGAAGTTTCCAAGCCAAACCGTTCGTTGGTATGTGCAATTCACCCTAACGGCGATACATTTCTTCATCATGGATATCTGGGCGACATGCAGACTGGACCTTTTGTAGCTTTCGGTATGGAATGTGAGGATGAATCTTTCTTGAAGTCTCACAATGGACAGAATACCTATAGAGCTACAGATGTAACAGAACGTAACCTCAGACAGATTTTTCACGAATTAGAACATAAAACAGAATATATCCACGAAGCGACTAGTAATGTCACTCTGGGTCCCGTCGTTATGAAACAAGAAAAACTGATTGTTGATGTTAAGGGGCCAGATTTCATTCCCAGAGTTTCAAGGAAATGTTTAGACATACAGGGAAAAATAAAATTTCTGTCCATTTCTGAATTAGATTCCATGAAGTATAAGGCGAAGTATCATAATTTCTTTGATGTACTATATTTTGGCAGCGTTTACTTGAAACACTTTGAAAAAGAACTGGTCGAGAAAATACTTAAAAAAAGTTCACTGTTAATAATAGAACATCAGTTATTCGTATTGAGTTATAGGAAAAAGGAACTAGATGAATTCAAGAAGACCATCGAAGAAAAAGTTGAAGGATTAGAAGTCGATAGGATGGCATTTGATTCAGAAAGAGATCCATATGCCAAGTTTATAGTTAAATAAAGTAATGTGATGAAATTTAGTGATTGGATAGGCATGATGCATAATATTTTACAGTTATTTCCATCAAGTCTTCTTTGGAGAACAAAACACTCACTTAGGTAATGACAGTGACATTGACGCTAAATTTTAGTTTAATTTTCCGTCAAAATAATGTATACTCGAAGTGAAAAAAGTGGATATGTTGTTTTAGGCAAGAGGGAAATCGAGAGGCAGAACAGAGGTTTATCATACTGCAATTAACGTTATTGCTATGATTGAGGTTAACAAAACGGTTCATTCAAGAGAAATTAGTCGAGAAATGCAGATAAGTCACGAATTAGCAAAAAAAATATTGAAAAGCATGGATATCGAACATTTAAATATCAGGCACATCAACATTTGTATGCTGACGATAGCCATAGACGAGTAGTGTTTTGTGATTGGTTGCTTCAAAATCATAGAGTTTACCCATCATAGAGTTTTATTTTTCGACTAATCAATGTTTACAAATAATGGCTTGTTTAAAGAGCGAAATTCTTGGTACTTGGCCCAACTGAATCAACATAAAATGAGAGAGTGCAATTTTCAAGAAAGGTTTGGCGTCAATGTCTGGGCTGGTATCATTGGAAACAGAATAATTGGAACAATATTGGTTCAATGTCAGTTAACAGGGGTTAGGACTTAGGTTTTCTTAAAAATCGAGTATCATCTTATTAATCTACCTTTAGCAGTTTACGGCAAATTTACCTACTTCTATCAAGATGGAGCACCCTCTCATAATAACAGAGACGTTATTGATTACTCGATAGAGCATTTTAGTAATCAAGTTATTGCAACCAATGGTTCAGTTTGGTGGCCTGTCTTAGAAGAAAGGATTCTACAGGTATTTAGAAGCATAACGCCTCAAATGTTACGAAACGTGTTGAAAGAAACAATCGAGAGAGCTGAAATGTGTCTTGAACAAGGAGAAATGCACGTTGAAAATTTACTATAGTGAAATTTTCAAGATGTTGGAAAAATTTGAGTGCATCGCTAAAATTATTAGTTGATTTTGTTAAATTTGTTGATCCAATCGCAAATGAATTAGTAACGTGCCCAAGCCGGAGAACAATTTCAACAAGTTGGCGCTCCATGCGGACGACACAGCTCTGCTGGCGAGATCAACAAGTCAAGCGCAAGTCACTAGATGCACCAACAGGTAGATATATTAGATTAGAGGAATAGGCCAATCTGTGGAAGATCAGTATAAACCCTGACAAGAGTCAGGCGACAAAACCTATTACTAACAATAGGTCGAAAAAGCAATATATGGGACTGAAAGTGAAGCTGATGATAACAAAGACCGCACTACTACCAATAATCCTGTATGCCTGCACTGCTTGGGGCCAGTGCGCAGCAGCCAGCGGTATACGGAAGACAGATCCAGTCGTTTATGAACGCGTGCGTAAGGGCCGCCGTAAACGTTCCAATATATGTACCAAATAGGTATATATTCCGGAATCTAGACCTGAACATACAACTACGTAGACGCATATATGAGACAACACGCAGAAGACGCGTTTGACAGAATTCGAGCGCAAGACAATCCAGCGCTATGCGATCTACACAATGCATTAAACAGGGATGACCCAGATTCCGAGAGAGAGAGAGAGAGAGATAAACATAGAAGGCCAACCAAGCAGAACCAACGTCCACCTCCAAGAGTCGCTGTCAGGCGGCTCCGGTAAGTATAATTTTTTTTAACAGATAACAAACACTTCCTTTTCAGGTTCAACGAGAAACACTCGACCGCGATTTAGATTAGTTTACATCCGATCATGGCCACCTAGATGCAATTTCAAAAGCGACTTCGAAACCGGAAGTGACATTAGGGTGAAAAGTATGTAAAAACTCTCTTCTTCACATAACATTCACCTATACCAAATCTTATTTTGGTACACCTAATAGTCTAGAAGTTTTGACTTGTCTAATAGATTCGTTGACACCCATTATGTCACTAGAAATAGATATTTTTGTGTGTTGTTGTGGGATCATGGAGACTGCAACATCTCAACAGCGGAAGAACAGTCCTGATGTGGAAAGACTATCGTAGGAGGTCATAAAATTGTTTCTGATTCGAACATGATCTGTCTTAGATACAGATACATGCCCTCTCATGAAAATCAAAACATCATCCGTGAACGGCGATATCAAGATTTGCATTCATCGAATATCTGGCAGGTAATGTAGCATAGGTGGTACTAAGAATATGTTAAAATGTACGAGGTGAAACGCACGCCGAAAAGAGTGTCACAGTTCTAGTGGGTAGGAGAAATGTTTTTCTGCATACTTTATGAGCAGAAAGTAAAATATTACTTTTCAATAATTAAGTAATTGGTGCTAGTCCCATTCATTAATTGACATACCTATAAGGTTCAGTTCAAAAAAGATCATTTCACAAAGACACAATTTCACACTGGAATATGAAAAATGGGAAAATACAAGAGATTATTCCTTGAAAGACATTTTTTGTAGAGAACTCAATACTTCCTACTATATTTTTGGGTATATAACCTTCCACAATCTGGAAAATGAACAAAACTAAATCAGTAGATAATCTGTTGAAGTGTAATGAAGGGGAAAGTCAAAAGTTGGCCCCGAAAAGTTACTGCGTAATATAAAACACTGAAGAGTCCAAATAGCCAGTAACTTGTTGTATTTATAAATTTTGCTAAAATTGAAAAAAAAACAATTGAAAAAAATTTAAATATTCATATTTAGCTTTCTTTCGTGGTCGACCTTTCGTTTATTACACTTCATCCTATTCTCTATTGATTTAGCTTTCTTTATTTTACAGATTCAGATAATGAAATGGAATACAAAGTATGTTTGGGAAAAAACACAAATATTAATTTTTTGAAAAAATATTTATTTACTAGTCTATTAATGTTGTCGCTTTCAAAATAGTCCCCATTAGATACTATGCACCTGTGACAATCCTCGAAAAAACTTCTCAAACTAGATTTTCGGGATAGCCTTTAGTTCTTTCAGCGATGCGCTTTTAATGCCATCTATGCTTGTAAAACGACGGTCGTTCACTTCATTTTTGGAAATAGAAAAATGTTACACGGAGCCATGTCTGGCGGATGTGAAAGCTGGTGAGTACTCGAAAAAATTTCATGGCATTATAATAATAATAATATTTATTTCACTTGTTGAACAGTATGAAAGCATTACAATAAACATTTACATACAGTAACAAGGAAGACGTCCATGAATTGTGACAATAC